TTTAGCTAAAATGACTAAATGACTTGTGACTTAGTCATCAAGTCATTTAGGTCACATCCGGTCATGTGCCAACACTGGTTATAGGTGCAAGAGTTTTGTTTATTAAATCTAATCTAGGATCATTAATGATATTAAATGCATTCCTAGTAAAATTTCATTGACTTCAGATATGTGGACATCTACTTTAACAACAGGAATTTTTGGAATTATCCATTCATTATGTAGATGACTAATGGGTTTTGCGTCATTTTTTAATATAGCAGAACATATTATTAGGGTACTTAATGAATTTGGTAGCTCTTGAAAATAAAAATTGATTAAGGGTAGAGATTTCCCCTAAGTGATAATCATATAGCAAAATATCCAAAAAAAAAAAATATTTCGTACATCAATTTTCGGTTCAATGTAAACTTTTGTAATACCTAACATAAAAGGAAAATTTTAAAAAGCCACAATACTGATCTGAAAAGGTCGTGAATGTGAAATAAAGAATATTATTGGCCTCCATTTTTTTGGTTTGATTTAAAGCATAATATATAGTTTATTCTTTACATTATATTTATATTTATATATATTTTTTTTTAACTTCGCTACATTTTATTTATCTTCGAGAGCGAAGCCATAATTCCAATTCTCTTCTACCATTAATGCGGTTGCACCTTCAACAGTACCAATTATGTGAATATTCATTTACAATGTGTTTCCATTCGGATTTGGCCGGTACAAATTTATCATTACCTTTACCACTACGTATTATAAGCCAATCCAGTAAATGCTGAGCGTTAGCTTTTATTCGAATAATCTTTTTACGCTTTTCTTGATAAATTTTTAATGAGGTAAGTTCTTCGTTATCACACTTGAGTTGACAATAAACCTGTATAATATCTTTTGGTGAAGTTGTTTTTCCATTTTCATTCAACTTATTCATTACCTCGTCAACTACTTCTACCATTTTAATAGCATCAGATTTTACATTTACTTTGTGTATCAGTTCAGCTGCTCGTAAGCACCGTACAGTTTATATGTATACTCCGTTACATTAATTGTTTAACCTCACGTTCCATATTACTTGTTGAAGTCCCACAAGGCCAATATTAAAAAATTTGAGAAATAAATGTCACTTTTTTTGTGAGAATTAAAGTTGAGGGTTTTTACATTGTCGAAGTTCGAAGCCCATCATATCAAAACCTATGATAGTTAACAATTATCAAGCATTAATCCATTTTAACACAGAATAAATGAGACGGAAAAAGCTCTTAAAGATACAACAATTTCTCCAAAATTTACGAGACGTCCGCTTGGGATATCGATTTGGCGTGGAATTGGGAAAGCGTATCTGGTTTATTATAAAAAAAAGCCTGCCCTTATAAATTACATTTTCAGAAAATTAGTCGTTCAACGATAATTGTAAAAAAACATAATATACTATCAATATGCTTTTTGGATAACAATTTCGCTTACCAGAAAGGAATTTCCGGGCAGTCTACATTTCATTTCTCGTGGCAACATTGATAATATCTGACGAGAATAACCAGACGAAGGGTGGATTTTATGTTAGAGTTAATGTGGATTAGATATTAGTAGTTGGTTATAAATAATAATATGGGACGTGATTGAAACATTCAATCAGAGCATTGATGAAGGGCATCAGATCCCATTCACCAGAATTAAGCTTAAGAAATTCATTTGAATTTTCGTGTGAGACACATGATCTGAAAATTGTAGCTCATTACAAAACAAAAAGTTTATACCGATATATATGATTAACATTATTAGCTTTTATTTAATTTCGGAGTTAAAATAATAATTAAAGTATAATCGCGACAGATTTATAAAAAGAAGAGGAGTATAAGAAAATTGAGACTAATCATGAGCTTTAGCTGAAATTATAATTGCCAATTTCACTAAATTTAAAGACAAATGATATATTAATATGATGATTTATTGATATTAGGTTAGTTGATTATATAATACTTAAATAATTTAATCAATTTTTTTTTGTTAAAAGCAATAAGATAAATAAATAAAAAAAAATCACATAATAATTCAGAGACACCTAAATAATATAATTGTAAATACATGTTTTTTTATAATAATATAAAGAAGTTTTAGAATTGCTTTATATATTTATTATAAAACAAATTATATTAAATATTAATTAGTAATGTTTTTAGATTATACTAAAATCATTTAGCTAAAAAAACTTTAAAAACTATTAAATAGAAAATTAAATCTTCAAATTTTTCAAAATCTAAAAAAAGGATTTTGGTTGGATATTTATTAGAATATGCAATTAATGATATATATAAAATATTAAATATTTTTTCTTAAAAGTTTATATATGATTTATATGATTGATAAATTATTAAAAAAAATTTTATATTTAATTATTATAATTATTATATAAAATTTTTATTTTTTAATTTATCTTTATTTTACATATTAAAAGTTAATTTATATATAAAGATATAATAAAAATTAATTTGAAATATGAAAAAATTATATTAAGATACAAATAAAAAGAATAATAAAGTATTTATATTTTTTTTTAACTTAATAACAATTAATAAAGAAATTGATAATAAAAATTTAGATAATATTTAGAATTAATAAAAAATATAATAAATGAAATTTTTAATTAAAATTATTTATATTTTATAATTTTTATTACATTTAGTAATTTGAACTAAATAAAATTCTAAAATATTTTAATATAAGATTAGAGTTTCAAACAAGTTAAGTTAATTTAATTAAATTATAAATTGAGTTTAAGTTAAATTGAATTCAAGTCAATAATTATCTAATTTATAATAAATAATAAATTCAAGCATATAGTAAATCTTTTATGAGTTAAGTCAGGTTTAGATAAAATTTCAGATTATATATTATTTCTTAGATCATAGAATTTTATAAATAAATTTGCCTGTTTATTTACTTCTAATTTATTTTTATAAATAATTAATAGTTTTAAAATTTTTTTTAAAATTAATTTATTAAATATGAAATATATTATAGCAAGTTTTATCTTTTAATTATATGAAAGGTAACTAGTAAAAAAGATGAAAATCCAAATTTTGACCAAAATTTATATTATTAGATTACTTGGCTAATCTCAATTATGTATACAAATTTAGCTTAATAATAAAAATTAACAAAAATTTTGAATTTTCTCCTTTTAATTTATTTTTTTTTTTTTTAAAAAAAAATTCTTTTTATAATATATTATTTCTTTTATTTCTTATATTATAATTATTTAAGTATTACTTTTTTAAATTGAATATATCATTATAATCTTATTTGATTTATCACTTTTCTATTTTTTTTTATTATTAACTATTTTAGAAAAACCTTTATAGATTAACTTTATTACACTTATTTATTATTATTAATGATATTTAACATAATTAAGGTTGCTAGAAAAATTAAAGGATTTTTTCACTTATAGAATTACTAAAATACTAAAACTTTATTGAAACTATATTAAAATTTTATAATAGCAAAACTATAACGAAATACTAAAATTCTAAAACTATCATAGTAAATATTAAAACTGAAAAAATTATGATAAAACTATATTAAATTTTTATTAAAATTTTGCTAAAACTAATTATAGAATTTTGAAGAAGTTTAAGCAAGTATCCTTAAACATAATAGATAAATTATTATTACAAATCTTTAAATTTTAATTGTCATTTATGGTATATTCATTTTTATTGATATAATTTGAAAGATTTACTTTTAAAATTTCTATTAATAAAAGCATTTTAAGCATGAATTTAAGTTTCTATTTTTTGATTTATGATACTTGATAAGAAATAACAGATCAAGTTTTATTATATTTAGTAATAACACTATTTATTTTTAATTTTTATCTGATTTTGTTAATCAAAATATTACAATTTGATTGGTTATTTGAAGTATTAGATTAGAAATAATAGAACTACAATTTTTTGGATCTATTACTATTCTATTATCTAATCAAATATAGTAATAATTAATTAATCAAATTTATAATAATCATATTATCTTAATTAATTTTGTAAAAGAACTTTTTTCTAACTGTTTTCAATATGCATATAAATAGATAATAAAAACAATAAAAATAATAAAAGTTCAAATTTTAAATTAAATAATAATAAAAAATATATTATTTTATTACTTAAACTTTTTTACCGCAATTAAAATAGCAGTTTTACAAAATTTATATTAAGTTTTTTTTCTACCTATTCAAAATTTAAATAGAACTTTGATCATAAATTTAATTCTTTACCTTTATAATATATCATATAAAAAAATTTTTTTAAATTATATTGTATAATTATGTAATTTTTGATTATATTATAAATTTTTGTGATTTTATATTATAATGTATAGAATTTTATAATTTAATTTGATATTTAAATATTTAATTTGAAAATTTAATTAAATACAAATACAAATTTATATTTGATTTAATTCAATTAAATTCAAATCAAAAATAATTTATTTAATCAAATCTAAATTAATTTTTGATTTGATTTGATCAAATTCAATCAAATAAAATATTTAATTTGATTTAAATTAATATTAAAGTTATTTTAAAGCTTTAAAAGTGGTTTTTATTAGGAAAACTATAATAAAAACCCTTTAAATTGCTTTTTTACTAAAAAAAAATATAGTAGAAAATGTTTTATAGTTTCAGAAACATTATTTTATTAAGAAAAATATAATAAAAAATGTTTTTATAGCTTTAAAGATATTATTTTACTAAGAAACTATAGTAAAAATGTCTTTATTATTTTAAAGATTTTATTTTACTAATAAATTATATAAAAAATAGGTTTGCAGCTTTGAAAATATGGGGTGAGTGCTAGGAAACGGAAACAAATCGACAAAAAATTTTTTTTTAAAATAACAAATAATCTGAATCAGATGATCAAATTTACATCTATTTTACTTAGAAACTTTTTTTAAAAAAAAAATTAATTTAGTCTATTTTCCCAGCACTCATCCCATATTCTTTTACTAAAAAACTATAATAAAAATACCTTTGTAGCTTTAAAATGTTTTTTTACTAAAAAAAAATTAGTAAAAAATATATTTGCAATTTTGCGAATATTTTTTACTAAAAATAACTAGTAAAAAATATATCTGTAACTTCAAAAATAGTTTTATTTTAAAAAACTAATAAAATGCCACTGTAACTTTAGAAATACTTTTATTAAAAAATATCTAGTAAAGTTTCTTTATAGATTTAAATAAAATAATTCTAAAGCTACAATGGTGATTATAACTAAGTTTTCATAATAAACTAAAGCTGTAGTATTATTTTACCAAATTTTCTTAGTAAAGCAAAGCTGCAGAATTATTTTATTAGTAAAATATAGGTTATAGAGTTGTTTTATTAAGTTTTTCTTAATAAAAATTCATTTATTACTAAACTTATTTTGTAAAAGCTATCTTTAAAATTTTTTTAATACTTATTACTAATGATTTTCTTAATTAAAATTTTAGAATAACTTTATTTTAATATATCATTGTATAAATTAAAATTTTTTTTATATTCTATTTAATTTAATTTAATTTAATTTGATCAAATATTCAATTCAATTTGATTCAATTCAATTTAATTTATTTAATTTAAAAAAAATCAAATTAAATTCAAATTGCTTCAATATTTGATTTAATTCTCTAATACAATAATATATAATACTAAGTTAAATCACATCATATACATATATTATATGTAATCTAAAGTAGATTTGATATAATTACTAATATCATAATTTATAATATATATATCATAACTAAAAATATTGATATAAATTTAACATTAATTCATTTTTTAATTTTTCCAAAACTTAAGGGAATTTTTATTGTAACCTTTATTATACTTTATTTATTTATTTATTTAATTTCTTTACTTTTATCATTTTTTATATAAATGAATTTTTTTTTTAGAATTTTTTTATTTCATATAGATTTTTTATGAACTTTGTACTTTATATCAATACAAAAAAATTTAATTCTTAATTATTATTTAAAAGAAATTAAAAAATAAATTTAATTTTATTAAATATATCTTGTTTATTATAATAAAACTGGTTTGTTATAAATTTTTTGATAAATTTAATATAATAATTTATGTTTTATTTTGACATATATTTTTTTATTAAATTAATAAAAATAATTTAGTTACTAATAATAATATGTAGTTTTTTTGAATATATTATTATTAGTTTAAAATTCCTTAATATAATATAATAAAATTACTTTATTAAAAACTAAAATATATATATATATTTAGTGATACCTGACTAAACTCTTTTTTAAAAAATTGTAATTTCGTCAAAAGTTTCGTCTCTTTAATATTTTTATATGAATAAATATAAAATTATTATATTTTTTAATGTATTTTAATTCAAGGAATTTAGATCAAATTAAATATAATTTCAGCAATTAAGTAAAATAATTTTGTCATTAATAAAATCTAGTTTTGTCATTTCAGTTTCGTTAATTTCGTCATATTAAGAAAAGTAATTTTATCAGGTATCACTAGAAGTCATTAAAGCTAAGTTCTCAGATGTAACTAGAAATATTTCATAGTTTTCTACAATAAGTTATACAAAAATATACAAAAGCTCAGCAAATTATTAAATATAGCTATTCGATTATATTAATCAGTTACGATTAGATGATAATAGGTTTAGAGAAAACTTTGTGAATATATCAATATGAGTAGCATATGAATATTCTGCATGAGATATTATAACCTTAACAAAGATAAGTTCTTATTTCCTTTTGCAATATTTTTCTAAGATTTATACACGCGTATTTTACTATAAAAAATTCTTACTATTTCCATTGCAGGCTGTAAATTCATCTTTGAAAAAAAGGTAAAAATAAAGCTAATATTATTATTTCATTAGCTTCAATGAAAATGTTAGAAGTGAAATTGAATCATCTTCCTTTAGGCTTTAATACTTCATATAAGCCTGATCCACTTTGTTATTATGATGCATCTAATTGTTCCTACAGATATCAAAATTCTAGTTTGCAGTCACACATATCATAAGTTTTATTATAGCAACAATGGGTTTAAATATTTATATTGCCTCTCATTTCTACAAGATGGTGTTGATGAACATGTCCAGTCCTTATTAGAAAGTCTAAAATACTTTGATGAAACACAAGTTGAAGAACCCGACAATGATATTTCTTGTGAAGACAATGATGAATATGAACCGGTTGGATGCATGAAATTTACATTGGAAGAAGCAATAAAAAAATTACAATTACAATTTTAAAAATGGTAAGAAAATCAATGATATTATAGTTAATAGAAATAAATTATCTTCGAATGGTATAGCTAATTTTATTGATCAGATCACGTGTCATATATAAAAAATTACAATATCAATTACAAATTTTGTAACCTAATCGACCAATCACATGAAAGTCCTCCTATGAGAGTGCGTTTCAGAAAAGAACAAAAAAGGCTCAAAGAATCTATGACCTTTTCCATCGTATCGGAGTGATAAGATACAATAAGTAAGATCTTTTTCTGCTACAGGCATTGCAAAATTAGGTATTGATAAAATTGATTATGTAGTGAAAGAGGTTAGTGTCTTGCTTTGAAAAAACATATCATATGATAGTATTGTTGATAGACTGAAAGGTTTCGATAACTTTACCACACTCCTTATTCGGACATATCGCTTCACCATTCACAAGATGCTTCTCGAGGCACTTCTGGTGAAAGATGTAGCCACACAAAGCTAGTGTAAATTCTTTGATCGGGTCAGACGAATTCGAAAGTAACTCTTCATACAACAAACACGGATCCACTTTCAGAACTTGAACATCTATAGCAAGAGATCTGGGTGTTGATTTGAGAATATTTATTGAGAGAGCTATGATTTGTGATTTGTCCATACTGTCCTACCTTCGATTAGACCAGAGGAGAATAAGAAAGCGAATGAAAAAGGCCTGTTTTTTATAGCTCTTAAATTTCGCAGTGAAAGATATTTCCGGATCTTCATTTAATGACGCATCGCATTTTATCATTTGCTTGAAAATCAATAAAAATGACTTCGGGATTAGTATACACATCCCCAAATCTCATATGGATTGTCGGAAAAAAATATTTATACTCGAATATTGTTTTATTAATATGATCATATTTTTCGGGATACTTGTGATGCATATAATAAGTTTTTTATTACTACGTTCTCTAACTGCTTCTCTTTCAATTTCGCTACTCTATCTTTAAGCTCGGCATTTCTTGCCTCGAGCTCAGCTTTCTCGAATTCAAGCCCAGTTATCTTGGCCATGAGTGTGGCATTTTCTTCTCTAAGTAAGTTAAACTCGGATTCCATTTTTCAATAACTCTTTATATAAGCATCAAAATAAATGCAAATCGACTTTTAAAAAAAATAGGCAAATCTTACGTATTGAACAGATACAGCTAAGAAAACATGCCATTCACCACTTATTCCATAACTATGATTTCCGTTGCAAGAAAGGCATGGCATTTTCTTGGTGTATCTATTATTATCATATCCTCTAAAGCTACTTTGAAGTTACAAGAATGAGAAATGCTCTAATACGGATTGGATAGATCTGGTTTTGTTTCGTAAGTGATAGGCATGCTTCTCTTAACCTTTTTCATATTTATATCTTATATTGAGGTCGATTGTGTATATCAGAAATAAGACATTATTTTAATTTATGTAAATGTATAGCATTAAAATTTCTTTATTGAGCAATAAAATCAATTAGAGCAATTAAAGGTAGATTTTTTTTGAATATACAGGATGATTCTTGAATTTAGTCACATTAAAGATGGGTTAGCAATAAGTTTAATCAAAGAAAGTAGATAAGAACTATTTGTTTTTCGCCCTTACTATTACTATAACATAGATGTGACAAATGGAGATGAATACGAGTAACTCGAGTCCTATATAATAGACCCAGCCCTGTAATTGGAATTAGTTTAGGATTAACCAAACAAAAAAATTATTTACATAAAAAATGGGACTCTTACTTCATAAAAAGAAGGAAAGTTATATTCCATCTTATTGTCTAGAATACTCCATTTTGCTTTTACTTCATTATCCACAAGGACTACTTGATACTTCACAAAGTTTACTTTATCATCTACAAATTTCAATTTCTCACCAAGCAGTTCAAGCTTAGCGATTATTTGTTCAAAGATTTTATTTCAGGTTTCGTTCATTGTTGCCATATCCTAAAAAATCAAGATATTATTATGTGTAACAAATGGCATCATTTAAAGGTTACTGTACATACATTTTTGATTTGAACAACGTAAGTTAACATTTCAAGAAATTTTACAACTGAGAGTATCACTCCTAGGAGTTTAGCGAGGTTGACGAATATATCATAAGCTAAAGATATACAGACTTGTTAATATCTGACATGTTAACAAAGAAACAGTACATAAACACTTTGCATACCGTAAACTTTTCCTGAATCTTCCTCCATGTTAAAAAGATGTTTGTCTTATCTAAGTTTAAAAAAAGCGCATGGTAATTTATTTATTTGATATTAAAATTTTTGTTGGATCTTAAAAAATATACTTCATTGTATTTACAGTGGCTTCCAAAAGAAACGCAAGTGGCATTGCTTGCCTTTAATTGCCTGTAACTCACTGTGCACGAATGC